TACCTCTTTTATTTTTTATTCAGTGGCGGAAACGGGCTTCCACATTTTCACGATACAAATCATTGCGAAGCAGCTTTACAGCAAATGAAGTTTCTACAATATTTAGTGGTAGCTTATCAGTGGTGACTGTCAGTTAATGTACATATGGCAGAAATGTACGGAAAAATCAATTTAAGACATAATCAAACAGACGATGAACACCATTAACAGCAATTATTATATGATGCAATCAAACTTACAGCAACAATGTGGCAGTACTGTAAATGTTTGCTTGAAACCCCATTAACACAACTGATCAGAGATGTCTACACACAAGACCCACTAACCACACGAGACTTACTTCGGGCTACACAAATGACAGACAGAAATATATATATATATCTATATTGATGGAAATACATTCAAATGAACGCGTACATGTGCCATATAGTCCGCTAGTCAATTCTGCATAAATGCGGGCGTAAAGTCTGTATACAGTATAGTGTTATATGTGCTAGAAGTTTAAAAAGCATTTTAATAAAGTCTAAGCCGCCTAGCCGGCATGATAACATGCATCCCCCATATAACGATTTATATCGCACACAATAAATATCCATATAAAATAATAAACGCATCTCCTAAATAAAAGGCACGCCAGAAGGCTTGCTGTGGGGTTTCTGCTGCTTGTTTAGCTCTTCGCTGTTTTAAACCAGAAACTATCGCTTGAGGCCTGCAGCTAATGCCTCATGCTAACAGCGCTGCCTCTGCTCGCGCATCTCTCATCCTTTAAAAACCAACTTTGGTTTATGTAAAATCATCTTGTAAACAGACCTGTAAACACGGGCATCTTTCTCTTGACTTGTCCTGTATTGAGCTCAACTGCAAAGACCGGGTTTAAGTCGGGGTGCGGAAGACTTGAGTGTCTGCTAACTTCATTCAAACAGCAGCACACAATGACGCTGCAACTGCATGACTCGCTCGATGATCTCGGCGCGCGACTAAGTAGACTTCATGCGAAATTACTATGGCAAAGGGTTTGGGTTATAAATATTAATTAATAAGGTTTCGAAGACGTTGCTTGGTGCACGGTGAAGGACTTATTCACGATTATATTAATTACATAATGTTGACTCTGCTTGGTTACCTTCCAGTGGCAAAGGCTTGGATAATGAATATTAACAACCAAGCAATCCCATTTAATAATGCTACTATGCCACTGGAGGGAGACCATCAATAACCATAACAGAAACGACTATTTGACGTCTGCGAGACGTATTTTTTAGAGTGTTTTCTCATCTGCAATGCCTCTATAGGACGTTTCCTATTAGATGTCAGATAGACGTCTATTAGATGTCTTTAAGATGTTTATGATTTAGAATGCATGTAAAACTGACATCTTAGAGACGTCTATCAGATGTTTGTAGACACCAGATGCTTTCCAGATGAAGACATCCCTGATAGCACACGTACATCTCGGAGATGTCTATTTGACGTCTGCATTACATCTGCGAGACGTATTTTTTTTAGAGTGTTTTCTATGGGACGTTTCCTATCAGATGTCAAATAGACGTTTAGAAAATGTCTTTAAGATGTTTATGATTTAGAATGCATGTAAAACTGACATCTTAAAGTGGTCTATCAGATGTTTGTACACAGCAGATGCTTTCCAGATGAAGCGATCTTTAAAAGACATCCCTGATAGCACACGTACATCTCGGAGACGTCTATTTGACGTCTGTATTACATCTGCGAGACGTATTTTTTAGAGTGTTTTCTCATCTGCAATGCCTCTATAGGACGTTTCCTATTAGATGTCAGATAGACGTCTATTAGATGTCTTTAAGATGTTTATGATTTAGAATGCATGTAAAACTGACATCTTAGAGATGTCTATCAGATGTTTGTACACAGCAGATGCTTTCCAGATGAAGACATCCCTGATAGCACACGTACATCTCGGAGATGTCTATTTGACGTCTGCATTACATCTGCGAGACGTATTTTTTTAGAGTGTATTCTATAGGACTTTTCCTTCTAGATGTCAAATAGACGTCTATTAGAGGTCTTTAAGATGTTTGTGATTTAGAGTGCATGTAAAACTGACATCTTAGAGACGTCTATCAGATGTTTGTAGACCGCAGATGCTTTCCAGATCAAGAGATCTTTAACAGACGTGCTATCTGGGATCTTGCTATCTGGGAAGCAGTGGAGCAACAAATCACACCATGAACTTCTGCAGTAATAGCCTACTGCATTAATATCGTGGTCGCTACACTTTGAAACCCATCAATAATACACACCCTGGACCGGTGGCTAGTGCATCATAGGGAATCAAATCAGTGTTTCAACTTTCAACTGAACATCTCACCTGACATTCGCTCCTTCGTTAGCTAGAATGAACTCTAGGGAAACAAATACAGAGCTGTGTAGATTACTTGAAAATTGTAATCCATTACTGATTCCAAATTACATCACAAAAAATGTAGCTAGTAACGTAATCCATTACATTACACATTTGAGTTTTTTCTTTACATTTGATGTAATTCATATGCCTGACAGAAACAGAAATGTATTATCAATTAAATATCGTTCTGCCGTTAAGTGCATGTGTTACACGGTCTACGTTATACTCCAGGTGACATGTTCCACGACAATGTCAGTGACTCTGACACATTCGCTTTCAGGAGACCATAGCACCTGTAATGGCTTCCTCGCACAGTGTGCCCTTATTGTCAGCCATCATTTCCTTCTGACACAGCCAAAAATTGCTTACATTATAACTCTTCTGTCTGGAAGAGGCCTGTCCTGGGCTACAGTTGTCTCCGAGGCCAGCAGCCCCTTTTGCTCCAGTTACTCCTCATTTGTTAAGAAATTTTGATGTGTGTTCAATCATCCACTCCGAGCCCTTGAGGCCTGTAAGGGCAGTTGTAGTATGGCAGAATATGCCATTCAGTTCCCCAGCATCGCAGCAAAAAGTGGCTAGGATACAGAGGCAATCATTGCGTGTTTCCAGATCGGTCTCTCTTACACCAACACCATCCAGGATGAACTTGCCACCAAAGCCCCCGCTGACATTCACAAGGTCCCATAGATGTGGCATCTGCCTGGACAACTGGCTGAGAGACTGGAGCCATAAGTTTGTCATCCCAGCACCTATACATCCAGTGGTTCAAATCTCCCAAGAACCCCCTAAACCTGTGCAGCTGGGAAGTACCAGGGTTCCCCCTGCTGAACATGACAGCCGCATGAGGGGGCAGTGCTGCCTTTACTGTGGCTTATCTGGGCACTACAATGTCAGTGACTCTGACACAATCGCTTTCAGGAGACCATAGCACCTGTAATGGCTTCCTCGCACAGTGTGCCCTTATTGTCAGCCATCATTTCCTTCTGACACAGCCAAAAATTGCTTACATTATCACTCTTCTGTCTGGAAGAGGCCTGTCCTGGGCTACAGTTGTCTCCGAGGCCAGCAGCCCCTTTTGCTCCAGTTACTCCTCATTTGTTAAGAAATTTTGATGTGTGTTCAATCATCCACTCCGAGGCCTTGAGGGCAGTTGTAGTATGGCAGAATATGCCATTCAGTTCCCCAGCATCGCAGCAAAAAGTGGCTAGGATACAGAGGCAATCATTGCGTGTTTCCAGATCGGTCTCTCTTACACCAACACCATCCAGGATGAACTTGCCACCAAAGCCCCCGCTGACATTCACAAGGTCCCATAGATGTGGCATCTGCCTGGACAACTGGCTGAGAGACTGGAGCCATAAGTTTGTCATCCCAGCACCTATACATCCAGTGGTTCAAATCTCCCAAGAACCCCCTAAACCTGTGCAGCTGGGAAGTACCAGGGTTCCCCCTGCTGAACATGACAGCCGCATGAGGGGGCAGTGCTGCCTTTACTGTGGCTTATCTGGGCACTTTCCAGTCAGCTGTCCGGAGCTTTTGGGGAAAGCCCCGTCCTCTGCAGTTACCCTAGTTTCCCTAATGGCTACCCTTTGGATCTGGATGTTCAAAATATTATCACATAATACAGTCAAATGGGAAACACGTTGGGTTATATTTGACATTGGTTAAAATTAATGTCAATACGCACTGTTTTATAGCATTTGTTAATCTTGGTTAATATCATTTAAACATGTATTAGCCTATTATACTTTGGTATATTTAAAAAAGCTGAATTCTCATCAGTCCAAGCTATTTGAAAATCTACACTTGATCTTCTAACACAAGCACTCTCTATTCTAGTTCTATTCTAATTACTTGTTTTATCTTCTTAATTTAAAAATTGACCCTCTAACATAGCATTCTCTATTCTTTTTCTATTCTATTGATTTGTTTTCGTTTTATTTATTTATTTATATTACAATGAGCCTCTAACATAGCGATTTTATTATTTTTCTGGAAGCAATCAAAATCAACAAAAGAGCAATGATACACAAGTGCTATAACAAGTCTCAGTCAGCTTAACGAAGTACACGTAGCAAGTTATTTTTTTTATTCTACAATAAATAAAAAGAAAACGATTAAATAAATAGAATAGAAAAACAATAAAGCAAGCTAGTGTTAGAGGCCTTTTTTGCTTTTGTTAATTGTATAATAAATAAATAAAAAACAAATAGAATACAAAAAGATTAGAGAAGCTAGTTTTTTTTAAGAAAACAAGCAGTTAGTAAATGAATAGAGTGCAAGTCTAAAAGGGGCAGGTTTTTTTTAAAGAATTAGAGTGCTAGAGTTAAAGGGTCACATAAAGATGGAAGAGATGTGTTTTTAGCAGATTCTTGAAGATCTTGCTACGTTTACAGACTACATATTGTTGCTCTTTTGTTGGTTTTGATTCCTTCTATTGTCCACATTTACATTTAGCAGATGCTTTTATCCAAAGCGACGTACAAATGAGGACAATGTGTACTGCACACACATATACATCACTGTGTCTGTCACGCGACTCTGTTCCCCTTTCGGGTTCTGTCTTTACATTTATTTTGAAAGATGAAGCTCGAGAGTATGGTAAGGGGCGTTACATTTCCGACGAGTGCTTGCGGTGTTCGGCCAATCACAATGCACCGGGTCAGCTGGCCAATCAGAGCAGACTGCGCTTGTCGGAAGGAGGGACTTTGTAGAAAACGAAGCGTTTGAGAGAGGCGGGGCATAGAGGACCTACAATAATGTACAGTATTTGAAAAATAATGTGTTTTTTTGAACATTAAAGCATGTCAACATATTCTGTTACACCAAATACACAAAATAATGATCTTTAAAAAAGCATCATATGACCCCTTTAAACTTGAATAATTTGTTTAGGTTCTTACTGATTTCCAGGAATTTGCTTGGAATGGTAACGTTTTTAGTGATTGCATTTTTGCCATGAATTTATTAATTGCTATTAAAAAACTGTTTAAATTTGCAGTGCGTGCATTACAGCTTTTTATACGTTTCTTGAACAGTTCTTGATAGTTCATTGCAGGGTTGAACCTACAACCGTTTGATAACCAGCAGGGTCTTTAACCACTAGGCCACACCACCCAAGCTCAGATTTTTCAATGAACTTGCTTTTGATCTGCAATTGTACTGTGTGTGTGTGTGTGAGTGTGTGTGTGTGTGTGTGTGTGTTTACCTGCAGTTTGCACTGAGGTGAAATGTGCAATTTTTGAATTTGATTTTATGAATTATTTCAGCGATTTCATACATTTGAGCATTGTTTCTTCAAGAATTTGAGCTCTTTGGACTTCTATGATTTGACCGTTGCATACACAGGCACACAGATTGTGTGCATTGATTTTTTATTTATTAATTTTTTGGAGCAGTTAGTGTTAAATCTCACTTTACATTAAAAATGATTCTCACTGAGATCTTTAGTTATTAATAGTGGCATCAGTGACACTTCCTGTAAAGTCTTTTTATATAGTCTTCAGTCTCACAGGCTTTGACAGCATCTGTAGTAGGTCACGGGATTTCACAGTAATGCGTTGAATTAGTATTTATGTGTGTATGGATATAGATATATATTTATATATGGCTACGA